TTTAAAGTAATTAAATGAAGAGAAGAAAATATGAAGAAACATTTCCTTTCTGGCTTTCAGTATTTTATTGACTTTGTTCAGCTTAAATAATGTTCTATCTTTCAACATTAATTACTGAGCTCCAGACATACAACGGCCTGAGTTCCAGCTGCCTACTGAAGCAATGTTTATGGGGAAAAGGGTAACTGGATGTGGAGAAATGCTCAGCTGTGCAGCATCGAGAATCCAGCCAATCAGACTTCAGTCATATCAGTCATAAAAAGGTCATGTGTGCCTATTGCCAGAGAGACGGCTAAGGTTGTTTCTTTCTGTCCTCTGGGTGAGAAACCTGCAGGTTGTGGCAGTTCTTCACGAGAGGGAACCTGGTGCCAAGGATCATCACTGCAGTTAAACATAATCTCTCCCGAACCTGCCACCATTACAAAATGCCTTTCCAAAAATAAGAGCAATTAAAAATGAAAGAACATAACTGGCTGGGCTACTTGGGATCAGCGTGCAACATCTTTGTAGATAATTAATCACCTGAACAAAACAAAAAAAGAGTCTGAACAAAACGGAATGCACAGACCTCTCATTCACTGCTAGTCTCAGGTCATGGTGAGTAAACAATCATAGGCACTGAAAGCCCATTGATCGCCGATCCCTGTCACTGTGCCATTCTGTCAGGGCCCTCCTATGATGCGTAGATTCTCATATCCAGCGCCTCCTGTCTCCCTCTGATGGTTTAGAGATCTGAACACCACTATGCTGTGTGTTCACATCTCATCAGCCTCAACAGACAGACTCTCTTCTGGATCAGAACCCTAAATCATATTACATTTTATTATATAGTAGACACTTTTATCCAAAATGATGTACAATTGTGAAAGCAGAGAGAGCCAGGCCTTGGAGTGCCTGGGGATTAAGGGTCTTGCTCAAGGGTCCAAAAGTGACATCACTATGCAGACCCTGGGATTTGACCTAGCAATCTTCCGATTACAAGCACAGCATCCTAACCTGCTGAAATACACATCGCCTCCAGAACCACATACAGTGCTGCAAGTAGGTCATGTGGTCCAACAAGCTCATGTCTTAATGTTTTGTGGGTCATCAGAACCCAGATCCTGACTTCTAACTTCTTCCACTGATTCAAGAGTCCATTGTCATTAGTGCTGTAAACAGCCAGTTACTGTATAGCAAGAAAATCTCACTCTCCCTGTCCTTCTTACTCCCTCTTTGCAAAAAATGTAACACAAATCACAAATTAAAGTGCTTCACTAAGACAATAAATACAAGTACACGTATGATAATAAATACATAAGCACAGTGCCATATAAACATATACTGCAGTGCCATATAAACATATACTGCAGTGCCATATAAACATATACT